CTAACCACTGTGCCACCTCGGCTCTTAAAGAGTCGAGTAAAGAATGGTAGTATGTCCCATATGGGTGCTAAATGAAGCAGCAAATATTTGGGGAAATTTTTTATTCATTTATGGGAGCCCCCTCAATCGTGTGACTTGAAGATTTGTTGGATATCAATTTCATTGGTGCTCTAAGGTGGCAGATTCAAGGCATCTGGTCAATATTAAGTTGGGAAAGGCAGATGTGGGCATTACTTAGGCCAGGGATCCCCAACTCCCCGGTCTATGACATGCCAGAAACCAGACTGCGTAAACAAGCGAAGCCCCATCCACGGGATGCAAGCAGCACAAGAAACCTTATCCCCTCCGGTCCAGGGGAAAAAAACTCTCTCCGTGGAACTGGTCCCTGGTGCCCAAAAGGTTGGGGGCCACTGACTTAGGCTATCCAGGAGCTAAGGGACTTTCAACTTAATACATGCATCTTATACCTGTGTCCTCTTGTTTTCTCCCACAGTATGACTTTACATCTTGCCAGGGGGTGCTCTTTGTGATGCTGATGGTGCTGCTGTTTAGTGGGATCATACTGGCTTTTATGCTTCCTTTCCATTACGTAAGTTTCCTATTTTTGCCAACCGAATCCATAAATGCATCCTACCAAGTGTTATTTTGCCATGTCTAGCAGCAGAGGAGATGCAGAACTATCTTTCTATGCTCGTTATGCCATTTAGTTAGAAACAACAAAAAAGCACACTACAGGCAGTCCTGGACTTACAACAGTTCACTTAGTGACTGTTCAAAGTTACAACAGCACTGAAATAAGTTACTTGTGATCATTTTTCACACTTATGACCATTGCACCATCCCCATAGTCACCTTAATGAAACACAGATGCTTGGCAATTGACTCGTATTTATGACGGTTGCAATGTCCCGGGGATATGTGATTTCCTTTTGCAACCTTCTGACAAGCAAACTCAATGGGAAGCCAGAATCACTTAACGACGGTGTTAACTAATGTTAAGAACTGCAGTGATTCACTTAACAAATGTGCTAAGAAAAGTAATAAAAAAAGC